TCTTTTGCTTCCTTGAGCACATTCACTTTTTATAATGGGGGATTAATTCGACTATTGCAATGTGTAGTCATCGACAACAGAGCAGAAACAGGCGTGTTGGAGAGAGAGGAAGGGATAGTACATTCATCATTGTCAATTGTAGATTCAATTCCCTTCCCTTTGTTCTCATATATAGCATTATTTGGAGGAAAAACTTTTATGGACATGACTTGGGACTATTCATCAACAATAAATCATTCATGTTGAAAATTTCTGAGTCTGGATGGGTAAATTTTTTGGTATGCTGCATTGAATAGTTTTGACGATTTCAATGTAAATTGGACACATTTGATGAGAAGAAATAAGTTTAAAGAATATGGTTTAAATGTAAGATGGAAGGTGGTAATGTCATGAATTAGCCTTGGAGAAAAAGATAAATATCACAAGTTTATAGCCATTTCATGGGCAAGCAAAACAACCCAAGAAATGAAGGGCTCCATTTGGAGGACTATGCAGAGATCTATCATGAGAATGCATAGGTCGTGTTCTTTTTTTGGTCGGAACATTCTTAGGTTGTTAGACGGTCCTTGTTTTATAAGATTACGGATATCAATGTAGTTTTAAACTTTTAAATTTTTCCAATTTAGTCCTAAACATGCGCGATATTCAAATTTAGTACTTCTGGTCAATTTTTGGCGATTTTCAACGTGGCAATTCAGGGGTCGGCAAGGCAAGAGTCAATGCTACGTGTATTCCTATGTAGTTATTCCCATGGTGACTTGATTAATCTTTTCTTATGAATATATAGAGGGCTAGAGTTATATGCGATTAAATACAGCTCTAGTTCTAGAATTTTTTGTATGAATTTTGACTCGCACGCTCTGCAAAGAAATATGGGAAAAGTCTAAGAGAGAGAGAAAAGCTAGTGTAGGATAGACCCAAATAAAAAAAAAAATACAGCTCTAGCTTGAGTTGTGTGATTTGGCCTTCTATCTTTCATTTTGTGCAATCTAGTCTTCCATCTTTCTCATTTTTTGTGATTTGGTCCCTTAAGTTTTACTTTGTGCAATCAAGTTCTCGGAATTTCTTAATTTTTGAGCAGTCAATCGCTTCATATTCCGATTGCAACTAATACTGTCAAATTTAGTGTTTTCTTTCCAGTTTGTTTGCTAATTTTGCTATCATTTGACGGTTTGGTTGAGAAAGTTAGAGGATTTAATCTAGAGGACCAAATTGTACAAATCAAGGACTTAGATTGAACAAAATAAAAGAGGATCAAATGACATAGACACTAAAACCTAAAAAAAACTTGGGTTAATACCACGAAAAACCTCAAACTGGTATACCTGTGACAAATTTATCCCAAACTCATTTTTTGACCACAAAAAACCACAAACTGGTATATTTATGACAAATGTACCCTCCATTAAATTGAATTAATATAAAAAAAATCACAAACTAATACACTTGGGACAAATGGAGGGTAAAATCCCATACTGATACGTTTGTCAACTTCCATATGTCATCTAACTAAGCAATTTGACAATAAAATTTAACGGAAACTAACGGAGGGTAAATTTATCACAAGCATACCAATTTGGAGTTTTTAATGGTTAAAATATTAGTTTTTGATAAATTCATTATATGTGTACCAGTTTAGGATTTTCTGTGATAATAACCCAAAAAACTAAACACGGTGCATCTATAGATTCTAACCAACTCCGTGTCTTTGGGTGCGTGTGTCTTTGTGTGCGCGCGCTCAATACAACCTGTTTGACATAAGGTAAACCTCAAAATCATTTGGAATAATCCGGCCCAATCCGCATGGGACAAGTCTTAAAAAAATAACAAGGTATAACTACTAGGTAGTAATCATTTTTTGACAAAAAAAAAGGGTAGTGATCATTTCACGATCAACAATACTTATGATGCACCTCGTTTCATTGGGATTTGTGGTGTCACTCCCCCACTTAAAGTGTCGACATCCTTGTCATCGTTGGCCCGTATTGTCCAACGCTCTCCTACGATGTACTACTAGATTCATTCGTCTCCCATAGTCATTCTTGAGCCATGCTAAGAGCCCCACTTTGTCCAAAACACTTGCCTCGGAGATCACTTACCCCCTTCCTCGGATCGATCAGTGTTACTTTGATACAATTTGTAATGACTCGATTGATCCATATGAGCTCTTCTCCTAAAAGAAATATTCGGGTATAGCCACACAAGGTGCGGATCACTTGATGGCGAATATTACTCATCAAGACAGTTTCGTTGCATGAGAGAAAAATGTCTCAACAAACATTAAATAAGTTTCGACACACATCGAGAAGCATTCTTATCATCTTTTCTGGTACTCTCACGACACTCGTTAACAAAACTTGCACATCAAACTTTCGTGCGAGAGAGATGACGAAAAGAGACTCCTCTGCACATGAAGACTTCACATACAATTCTGGCATGACCCCCATCCAATCTCCTTCTCATGATGATTAGCCAAACCAAACAAAGCTAAAAAGAGGAGTCAAAAACTAGACGCATAGAAGATAGGATTGCTCCAAGCCGGACATTGCAACTGAGACTCAGGACTGGTTAGGTGTGTTTGGTAACGTTTCTACTTCTCTATTTTTTTTGTTCTTCTGTTCCCCTGGAACAAAAAAGCACAAAAAAATCTGTTTGAAGAACGCATTTTATTTTTCTATTTCCTGGAATAGAAAAATGGCCAATAAATAGATTTGGAACAAAAATAAGAAGTAGATTTTTTCTACTTCTTTTTCTTTTTCCTTAAACAAAAAAAAATAGAAAGGTCCGGTCCTCAAGCCGCGCGCCTCGCTCCTCCTCCATCCTCCATCGTCTGTAGACTATCTCAAAGCACCGGTCCGGTCCATTCCTGCGGAATAATAAAAAAAATTCATAAAAAATTTAAAAATTTAAAAAATTCCCAAAATTCCAAAAATTCATAAAAATCAGAAAAATTCTCAGAAAATCCATAAAAATCAGGAAAACTCAGAAAACCCATACAAATTTGCAAAATTCTGAAACTGAAAAAATTAAAAAAATTCATAAAAAAGTTTCTGGAAAATAAAAAGAGAGATTTTGGGAAAGTAAAAAATTTTAATAAACTTTTCGCCAAAAAAAAAAAAAAATAAAAAATTCACAAAATGGCTTAGAATAAATTAAAAAATTCCGAAAATTCATAAAAATTAGAAAAATTTCAGAAAAATCCCTAAAAAAATTAGAAAATTAAAAAAATCCAAAAATTCATAAAAATCATAAAAATTCTCAAAAAATCCATAAAAATAAGAAAAACTCAGAAAACCCAAAAAATTTGCAAAATTCCGAAATTGAAAAATTTTAAAAAAATTTCATAAAAAAGTTTCTGGAAAATAAAAAGAAACAAATTTAGGGAAAGTAAAAAATTTTAATAAATCTTACCCCAAAAAATAAAAAAAATTTACAAAATCATTAAGTTTAGTTTAGGAATACCTTAAAGGATTAGACCACCACACTTATTAATAAAGATTAGATTTGAATGAAATTTTAATTTTTTCTTTTCATTGCCCAAACACTTTTTTGAAGATTCCTTAGTTTATGGATTAAAAAAGGGTTTTAAACCCCTGAAAAGGATTAGACAAACCAATAAACCATGCTTATTGATTTTTTTCACTTATAACTTGTACTTATAGTTAAATAAAAGACATAAATTTGAATGCAAAAAATTGGGAATAGAAATTTTTTTGTTGTACTCAAACACATTTCTCGTTTTTTTCTATTCCGGTAAATAGAAATTTTGTAGCCTACCAACCGCATTCTTTTGCTCAAAAACTCATCCAGGAAATAGAAATAGAAAAAACTATTTCTAAAAAGAATTTAATTTCAGAAACAAAAACGTTACCAAACGCGCCCTTAGTGTCCAGCGCTGCACATGGATTGGGACCCAACCTTCCTGAAATCGATACATCACCAGAATCCAAACCTCAATGATCAACCTAAACTTGTGGCTCCAATTTCCGAGAGCTACCACACGCCCACCACGAGGTTGGCCAGCCACACGGCGCGCCACCTGGCACCGCCCCATTGATGAGAACATGACCCAGCGTGGTCCAGCCGCTGGTGGGGTTGGTTCGAACCTACTAAGGAAAGCGACATCAATTTGGTCTTGTCATTTAACACACAATGACTCATTGAGGGTAGGCTGTGTTGGAGAATCTCTGCCGCCAATCCACGGCCGTGTGGATCTTTCTGGGAGCATTAGGAGGAGCTTACTAGATATTATTATCAGGCCAAAATACTGAAATAAAAGAAAAAATTCGATTTATTGGAAATAAGAACTCATTGCATCCCCAATATGTACTTGATTGATACGTCAAATTTCCCAAACACCCACATATAATTTAGCGAATTTCGACAAATGTGTCCTCTTAATTTAGTCATTAGAGGTTTCTAGTCAACTTGCACACCACACTATAGATACCATGACACCGAAGTTTCGAAGACCCAATAAGCTGATTGTCACCTTACAAAGCCATACAAATAGTGGATATCGATAATTCAAGAATCGATATTAACTTATATTCTCCAACTATTCTCTCTTTGACACACTCCATGGAATTCGGGCCACACATTATCCGGTATCACCATGCGTCTATAAGAAAAATTAAATATAAAAAGATAGGATACGTGCATTAAAAATTCTAAAATTTGTGGAAAAAGAGCAATGAAGTTCTAAAGCTTTTAAATAGTGCGGTCAACTTGAAATTTGCCGAAAAAATGCAATCAAGTACTTCGGTCAGTGCAATCAGATCCTAAAGCCGTTATTGAACTTCTGTAGTCCATGAGTCTGCTTGCTTTTTTGTGAAAACTCAGTGCAATTTTACACGAAACTGGCAGGTTTAGTGGACACTCTTTATTTTCTTCAAATTCTTAGTTTATTATTCTCTCTCTTTTTTCCCTTTTGCTTAAATTTGGTGTTTTCTGTCGATATTCTAGTCTGTGTGATAGGAATAGGCATTTCCAAAACTCTTCTCCACCCCCACTTATATTCTACTTCTCAAAATGTGTCAGCTTCCAAGTCCTATCCAGATGTTGCCTGTGCATTGGTGACTTGATTTCGTTTTCTTTTTTTTTTTTTCCTTTTTTGGGGGGAATTGTGGGGATAAGCTTAAAATTTCCTAGAAGTTATGAAAGCCAACACTGCAAGTAAATTAATAGCCATCGATTGCTATATATAGAAACCTGAAAAGCCATCCAATAATTTTCAGTGGAAGGAGCACCCAAAATTTGCTAATTTTAGGTTTCGATCTGTTGACAAGTCTGGTATCCTGTCCACAAGAAATTGTGTTCCTAGCTTCTTCAAAGAAATAAATAAAGATCGTCTCTGAACCCTGCCTTTTGGCAAGGTTTGATGCCCCTTGGTCCCTCCAATTTTCCGTTTCCCTCACCATTTTTCCTGGAAATTATCTGGTGATTCTCCTTGTCCTGGATGAAGGAGAGACATCACAATGGAGCCAGGAAAGTGGTTTGTGTTCCAATTCAATAGATCCTCGTCCTGTCATTGGTTTCATCTTCTAACTGGGTCTTAGATTGGGAGGGAGAAGAGGGAGAGAGAGGATGGAGAAGAGGGGTGCAACATTGTTGCATCGGTACGAGCTCGGGCGGTTGCTAGGCCAGGGCACGTTCGCGAAGGTCTACCATGGGCGGAACCTGAAGACCGGGCAGAACGTGGCGATCAAGATCATTGACAAGGAGAAGGTGCTCAGAGTCGGCCTGATCGACCAGATCAAGCGCGAGATCTCCGTGATGCGCCTCGTGAGGCATCCCAATGTCGTGCAGCTCTATGAGGTCATGGCAAGCAAGACCAAGATCTACTTTGCGATGGAGTACGTCAAAGGCGGCGAACTCTTCAACAAGGTGGCCAAGGGGAAGCTCAAGGAGGACTTGGCCCGGAAATACTTCCAGCAATTGATCGAGGCGGTTGACTTTTGCCACAGCCGAGGGGTCTACCACCGTGACATCAAGCCCGAGAACCTCCTCCTCGACGAGAATGGCAACCTGAAGGTGTCCGACTTCGGGCTGAGCGCGCTGTGTGAATCACAGAGGCAGGATGGGCTGCTCCACACGACATGCGGGACCCCAGCCTACGTGGCCCCGGAGGTCATCAACAAGAAGGGCTACGACGGGGCCAAGGCCGACATCTGGTCGTGTGGCGTCGTGTTGTTCGTCCTCATGGCGGGGTATCTTCCATTCCATGATGCCAACCTCATGGAGATGTATAGGAAGATTAGCAAGGGGGACTTCAAGTGCCCTCAATGGTTCCCTCATGAAGTCAGGAAGCTGCTCTCCAAAATTCTTGACCCTAACCCCAACACAAGGATCGGTGTAGTCAAAATCATGGACAACAATTGGTTCAAGAAGGGGTTCAAGCGGTTCGAGCCCCCGCTGTCCCCTCGGGTCGATAGCAGTGCAACAATCAAGGACATCCAGGCCGCATTCGAGCAGTCAGAACCAGATCCCAAAGAGGAAGCGGCTGCGGAAAAACCGCCAACGAGCCCTCTCAAGCCAACCAGCTTCAACGCATTCGACATTATATCCCTCTCACAAGGATTCGACCTGTCCAACCTGTTCGAGCAGTATGCAAACCAGAGGCCCGAGGCACGGTTCACGAGCACCAAGCCGGTGTCGGCAATCATGTCCAAGTTCGAGGAGCTGGCGTCCACGGAGCAATTCAAGTTTGAGACGAACAACGGGGTGGTGAAGCTGCAAGGGAACAAGGAAGGGAGGAAAGGGCAGCTCGCCATAGATGCGGAGTTCTTTGAGGTCACTCCAAGCTTTTCAGTTGTGGAAGTGAAGAAGGCAGCAGGGGACACATTGGAGTACAAGGAGTTTTGTGACCAGGACTTGAAGCCTTCCTTAAAGGATGTTGTGTGGGTTTGGCATGGAAGTATGCCACATCAGTCTCAACCTGCTTAGGTTTTGAATTTTTCTTCTTTTTTTCCTTTTCCTCTTTTTGGTTTTTGCTTGGGTCAGAGAAATTAACGTACCTCCTATTCAGTTGAGCTAATTAGTTGCTGTAACGGGGAAAATTGAGAAGTTGTATCTCTCTGTCTACTTAATTTTTGTGTATATTATAATCACAAAAGGGCTTTATTATAGGGGCCAAACACCAGGGGGCTTTTTAAGGTCCAACACCCAAGTTTATGAAACTTATGATTATATATGCTTTCACTTGTTGTCAGCTTAAGTAATTGTCTTTGTAAGATGTTTCTTCTTAAAGAAAAATGTCTCAAGGCACTTGTTAAAAGTTATTGATTGTGATTTGGAAATAATGATATTTCTTTTACAGGAAAAAGACATCATAAGTGTCATAACTTTCAAATAGTACTCACTTGAGCGCCATAACTTTGCATCGGTCACTTGAGTGGTATGACATAACTTTTCATAGGTTACTTGAGTGGCATAACTTTCGTACGACTTTCATTTGAGTGCCATAACTTTTTAATCGATCAATCAAATACCATAACTTCTAAAAAAACGTTCACCTCAAATGTCATGCCACATCATATTTCCAACACTAGTGGTGAATGTTTTTAAAAGTCATGACATTCAAATGAACGTTTTTTTAAATAGTTATGGCACTTAAGTGATAAATTGAAAACTTATGGCACTCGGGTGATAGATTGAAAATATATTGCATTCAAGAAATCGTCCTACGAACGGCACTCCTTTCTTTTAACTTTTTTTGAATTGTAGTCCTAATTTAATAAAAAAATTATTCATTTATCCCAGGGCAAATGTCACCCAGTTATTCCCATATGAAGCTTGACTGGTCCTGAGATTGAAAGTCACTCCCATTTTGTACCATAAGTATGGAAGGAAAGTAAGTACTAAACTTCTCTAGAAATCCTCTCTTGGCATTTTTTGTGACGATGGTTACAGTCACTGTTTATGCCATTTCAGTATTGCGCATTCTGAGGGGAAAAATCATAGATTTTCAGAGGGTCTGCACATAAATGATTTTAAACAAGGAATTTGTTGGAGGATTCATATTTCTCCTAAAGTAGTAAGCTCAAATGAGTGTTGACAACTCGGAAGGCCAAATGACTGGCAAAGCACTAACATCACCAATTTTGATCTACATTTCGTACGCGCATTATCAAACCGCCGCCGATTAAAAAAAGAATTTAGCTACCATTAAAAAAATCCCAAAACCAATACCCATGATATATTTACCACTAATTGATTTTCATTTACAAAAACTTTCAAACCGGTAGCTCATATCATATTTACCCCCAAGCTAATTTTTGTCTCACAAAAATCCCAAACCCGTACCCTGCGACACTTTTACCCGATATATACCCTTCATTAGCAATTTGGGATTTGACGTGGAGGATAGATTTGCATTCCAGGTGCCAATTTGGGGTTTTTTGTAAGATGAAAATTAATTAAGGGTAAATACATGATGAGGTATCGATTTGATGTGAGACGAAAATTAATTTGAGGTAATGTCTCATGAAGTACTAATTTTAGATTAATGGTAATTGTACGAAAGCGGTGATTTTTTAAAGGATCTGCCTATGATGTTATGTTGATATCATATGAGGATAACTATGAACATGATGATTGGGCTGAACAAGCCCAATCAAAATGTTGAAGCCCAACATCGAATTGGGCTTCCATTTAAATTTTTAAACTATTTTGCAATCTAGTGTTCAACTTACAGGAAAAGTGTCAGAAAAGTCTTAAACCTATTGCGTTTGTGTCAATTTAGTCATAAACCTTATTTTAGTGTCAATTTAGTCTTAAACCTTTTGTCTTTGTGCCAATTCAGTCTTTCCGGCTAATTTTGGCAAGATTTTACTGACGTGGACGCCGGCTAGCTTACGTGGCACCGCGCGGCGATAACGTGGACAACTTTAATAATATTTTAATATTTTTCAAAATTTTATTTTTTTTTTCTTTTTATTTTTTTTTCTTTCCCTTTCTTCTTCCTCTAGCCAGTTACCGATCCGGCGACTGGCTGGAGGCCACCTCGCCGGCCTCTGGCGAGCCCCGCCGACCACTGACAAGGCTTGCCCTCACCAGCGACAGCGACGGCGAGGCGGCTCGCCCACGACCTCGCGGGCCATTGGCGACGGCTCAAGCCCTCGCCAGCCTAGCTTGAGGCTACCCTCAAGACCATTCGACCTCGCCAAATGGCCACGAAGGCGGCCTCGCGCCGGGCTGGCCGGGCTTGTCCTCATCGGATTTGGCAAGGGTCAAGCCTCACCGGCCATGGGTGAGGCCCGACCTCGCCAAATCCGGCGAGGTTGTGCCTCGCCCAGCCGCTAGTGAGGTCGAAGTCCGCGATCTCGCGGCCGCTGGCAAGGGCGAGACTAGTCGGCCCTGGCCTCTAGCCGGTCGCTGGACTAGGGACCAGCTAGAGGAAGAAGAAAGGGAAAGAAAAAAAATGAAAGAAAATAAAAAATTTAAAAAAATCAAAAAATATTAAAAGTTGTTAACGTCATCGCTGGTAGTACCACGTAAGCCGGCCGACGTCTACGTTAGCAAAATCTAGCCAAAATTAGCCGGAAGAACTGAATTGGTACAAAGACAAAATGTTTAGGACTGAATTGGCACCAATGCAATAGGTTTAAGACTTTTCTAACATTTTTCCCTTCAACTTATTATAAATTTGCAAAGTGGATGGTTTTTTTTCTACTTTGGGCATAGATAAATTGGAAATTATACTTTGGTCCAATTAAAGTGGACGAATAATTTGGCCATCATGAAGTGGAATAGTGATTCTTTTGGGCGAAGAATAGTTTAGTCAGATGATGAAACACAAGATTACATACCAAATTAATTAATGAGAAAATTCCTAATAAGGGTCTAAAGTGGATCTTGTTTCAAATAAGGGCCTGAAATGGCTATAACAGTGTCAAATAAAGGCCTAACCTAGCTGGCCGGCCAAATATTCTAGCTGATCAAGGGCATTTTCTTCCAAAGACAAATTTAACCTAAATTTTAGTTAAATTAGATTAAAAATTTTAAAAGATACAAAAAAATACAAGCGAGAGGTCTGTCACTCCATTGCCGGTAGGGCGGCGGCGATGACCGGCGAGGTCACCGGCACCTCGGTGATGGCCGACGACCCCTCGCCTAGATCTAAGAGAGGGTCACCGCTTTCTCCTAGTTTTGGTGAGGGTCATCGGCACCTCAACACTGGCCATCGCCGCCGCCCCGCCGGCAATGGGGCGATGGCCATAGGCAAAGCCTGTGTGTTTTTTTTTTATTTTTAACTTTAGCCGTTTTTTTCTTTTCTGAGTTTTTTTTTATGGAAAGATAAAAACAGAAAAAGGAAAAAAGAAAGAAAAAAAAGGAAAAAAAATTAAAAAATAAAAAGACAAAAATGCCTTTAACCAGCCAATAAGGTCGGGCCTTTCTTTCAGACTAATATGACCACTTCAAGCTCTTATTTGAAACAATATCCACTATAGGCCCTTGTTTGAGAAAATGAGGGAACTTTAAGACCTTATTTAAAATAAGATCCACTTTGTGCCTTTATTTGAGAAAATGAGGGCATTCAAGGCCCTTATTTGGAATTTTCCCATAATTAATTTCACTAATTGATTTTATATCTAGCTCTAATCTATTCCACTAAAGTTTTTTAATTAATTTTTTTCAATTGTTAAGATTATGTCTCAAGCTTAAAAGTCTGTTGAGGAAAATCCAACATGAACAGAGAGTGTGGAAGCTCGGCCACGTGAAAATAAAGAAGACGAACTTCTGTTTTTTTCAGACATCTGATCTTGGAGTGCAAATCATGGCAATTTCCACGTCTTGTGGCGTCCCACCGGAAATCTATAAGGTTCACCGTTGTACCATACATTTACGATGCTTTACACCTGATGCCGATGTCACAACCAGACTGTTTACCATCACATTTGCTTGCACATGTGCATTTGTGAATCCATTATCTACATTGGAAAAGATACTTCTATTTTGTTATTATGTGCTTCTATCTTGTTATTATGTCTTTGGTACACAAGTGCAATTTTAAGGTTTTAGAAATAATTGAGGTACTTTTCATTTCGTCTGTTATTTCTTAAATCTTCATGCTCCTCGTGGCTTTGGCTCGATTTTTTCTGTTGCTTGTTTCTTTTAATTCCTTGAAGCTTGATTGGATCTTTCGGTCTTTTTTTTTTCAATTCTCTGCAATTTCTACTCCTTGTTTCATCTCTTAGAACTTAGGGTTAATACCACTAAAAACTCCAAACTGGTACACTTGTGATAAATCTATTCTCCATTTGTTTCAAATAAATTTTACTGTCAAATTGCTAAGTTAAATGACACGTAGAAGTCAACGGATATACCAATTTTGGGATTTTACCCTCCATTTATCACAAGTATACTAATTTGTAATTTTTTTTTTTGCATTAATCCAATTTAATTTAAAGTAAATTTGTACAGTTTAAGGTTTTTGATGATCAAAAAATTAATTTTGGGTAAATTTATCATATGTGTATCAATTTGAAATTTTTCGTAGTATTAACCCTAAAACTTATCATGGGTTTTAGAGACTTTTACTTTTTGCGGAAATCGATGTAATTACTCTTTTCTTGAATGTGGCTTGTATGGATATTTTTTAGTGTTTTCCTTTTCTTTGCTACTTATTAAACTTGACAGCCATTTTCGTCTTTATTGAGAAGGGGAAGAGCGGGGATTACCGATTCATGATTCAATTGGCCAAGAAAGAAAGGGCGGGAACTATCAATTGATAAAGGAAGTGGCTAGGTTTGTATCCTATTTTGGTTCGAGCTAGTCATATATGTACCCGATGCATGTGAACACGATGCGTGTGAATAATAAAGTCGGGCTAGGGATGTCAATTTGAATCACCCCTGTAAAATCCGTATTGCCCGGCCTTTGATGGGGCTGATAAAACCCACCTACACGTGTGTTTTGGAGTTAGAATGGGGTCGAAAGTAATTGCCCTACACACAAGGTGGGGTGGAGATGGATTTTGTCATCCTCAACCCCCTTAATCTGCCCCTCATTGCATCTTGTCTTTTCAAATGTTAAGTTTTGCATTTTATAGTATATGTGTTATGTAAAATATGTTCTTATTGTCTTCTCCTTTTTTCCATTAGAATGCCACTTTGCATTCATTTAT